GGCTCATTTGGCGGCGGTGCCAGACACCATCGACGGGGTCAGTACAGCAACGCTGTTCGTGGGTCGTGTTTTCCGACAAGACGGACCTCCAGAGTCGATTGTCTCTAATAAATGATCCCGTTTCACGGTAAAATTTTGACAATCTTCAAGGTGCTCGGCTCCAAGTTGGATATGTCGACAGCGGATCATCCGCTGGCCGATGATCAAACCGGAAGGGTGATCGCGTCATCGAAGACGTTCTTCGCAGCGTCTGCGCTGAGACGCTGATGCTCTGGATCGCCATGTTGCCACTCGTAGAGTTTGCGCTGAATAATGTAGTGCATTCGTCTATTGGCTACAGGCCGTTCTACGTGAACGGGCTGGTTCACCCTCGCGTCCCGCTAAAGCCGCCATTCCATGGCCCAGGGCTTGGTGGGGTAGGAATAGCCAAACGGCTAGCTGATGTTAGCCTCCTCACCATCCGCAAAGAAGTCGATGACTTCTTGTCTGTTAGACTCAGTGTCCTACGACACGTTCGCGATGCTATGGCTGAAAGCCAAGACCTGCAGAAAGAATATGCAAGTGAAAAAGGAAGAGGCAAAGTGGGAAGCCTTAAGGTCGGAGACCTGGTTTTATTAAACTCTAAAACATTTCCTACACATGTAGCCTCTGCTATCTTCAAGACGAAATTTCGTCCACGGTTTATGGTCCGTTTAAGGTTGTGGATAGGCGGGGCATAGCGTATACGCTAAACCTTCATAAACGGATGCGCATCCATTCGGTGCTTTACGTGGGTTTGCTCAAGTCGTATCGAAATCCGGCGCATGTGAACGTGGAAGCGTTGGCGCCAGAGCGGATACCACGGGCCCTCGGTCACCAAGAAACTGAACCAGCAACTGGTTCTGACCACGGAGTGCGACAATCTCCATCACCATTGGAGCCAAGGGCCCCACCATTGTCTGCAGTGATGGATTCGCCTGCTCCACGGCTAGGAGTCGCTCCGACAGAGCGCAGTAATTCTCAAGGCGAGGCAGCCGGCGCACGACGCGCTCCAACTCATCAAGAGCGTCCGCACAGCGATATGCTACTCCAGTATGACGCTCAGTGGAGCTCCGATCACGAAGGATCTTATCCTCAAATGTTCGAAGAGCACCGAGAGTCACCGGGCGGCGGTCAACCCAGTCGTCACCGCCCGCCACCGACTCTTCTCGATGAGAACGGTGACGTCCACTAT